GATGATTGTCATGGAAACAGTGGTTCCATACTTTTCATAAATTTGAGAAAATCCTGCTCAAAGTGAAAATGTCACTGGTAGTCTTCATTGTCATGATTGACTTGATCGCCTGTCATTTACTTTTTTTTAATTTCAAGGACAAGTTGGACAGCTATGGTTTTAAAGGCAGATCAGTATATGGGGAAAGTAAAGGCAACAGTAGTATACCGCTGTTCGAAACTCATAAATCGATAGAGATAAAAACAAATCCGGGTTACAAACTAAAACTGAGGGAAACGCATTAAATATAAGAGGAGAAAACGACACAACAAAAACACAACATTAAAATGTAACACACACAGAAACGAACTATAATATAACAATGGCCATTTTCCTGACTTGGTACAGGACATTTTAAGAAAAAAATGGTGGGTTGAACCTGGTTTTGTGGCATGCCAAACCTCCCGCTTTTATGGCAACGTCAAACACAACACCAAAACGACAACATCACATGACAAGACCACAATACAAATAAATGGGAGAACATATAGGACATAGAAACACACGAATAATAGCTAGCAGAAGGTACTAGGCTTAAAATTCAATACGCCAGACGTGCGTCTCGTCCACACAAGACTAACCAGTGACGCTCAGATAAAAAAAGTTTGAAAGCCAAAACAAGTACAAAGCTGAAAAGCACCGAGGACCAAAACTTCCAAAAAGTTGCGCCTAACACGGCCAGGATTTTCTGCCTGGGACAAGAACATCCTTATCATTTATGAAAAGGCTTCATGAATTAAGGAATAATTCCTTCATGTCATGCTCTATGCTCATTTTAACATGGGTATGCATTATATTTGTCGATATTTTACACTGACCGTTAGTTCAGGAATTATTTCGATTTTAATAGGACAAATACGGTATTTCTATAGGTCGAAGCCTACAAAAATACCTAAGGAATGTTTGGCTGTTCCTTTTATATCCCTATTTAATATGAGCAAAATGTACACGAAAAATGAAACGCAATAAATGATCTATGACATAAATTGTTGTAACACACGTACAATAAATAGTTTTAAAATCTATTGTTCTAAACAAAGAACAATTTCTTTAAGAATCAAAATACAGAGAATTTATATAGTAAGTTGTGCATGTGTCAAATATACTTTGTGCAAATAAGAACACGGCTTAGTTTACGAAGCGAAAAAGGGACGTCATATTAGAATGTTCAATATAACATTCAAAATTCATAACTGTACAACACATTGTGAAGAGCTCTAAATTTAACTTAAACGATTGATTTTTAATTTAATTGGCTCTTGCAATTTTACTTCTTCTAAACATATCATTACTCCAAAATGAAGGATTTCATTACAGAACCAAATAAAATATAGCCTATTTCAATTTCATATAAGGGAAAAATAATGCAATTCAGACAAAGAATTAAGGTTAAAAAATACTTGTTATGAAAAATGTATAAAATTAAATTTCTAGCAAGTCTAGTGAATAATTGAAGTTTTCTGAATATTTGTTGAACCTCTTAGTCACTGTTTATTATTTCAATATTATGAAATTTTTTCATTGATACCGTCCATCAACAACTGCTCTTCATAGCAGACAAATCTGCAATAAGATCATCATCATCAATTTAATCCTGTTTCACAGGTGTCTGGTCCGAAAATGCTTTGACTGCTAATCTAGAAAAGTATGACGTTATTTGAGCTACATTCACATCTAAAAATTTTTTAGATAAAAAAAGTTTTTATCAATTTTATGGTCATTTTTTTAAATTCACTATTTGCAGTATGAATTATTCGAAATACTAAGGATTTTTATCCCAGGCATAGATAACCTTAGCCGTATTTGGTACTTCCTTTTGGAAATTTGGGTCATCAATGCTCTTCAACTTTGTACTTGTTTGGCATTCTACCTATTTGGATCTAAGCGTCACTGTTGAGTCTTATGCCAATAAACAAGTTATTAAGTCATTTGTTATGTTTATTGAATTTTAGGGCAAACAATAAGTAGAAATCAAGGGAACGATAATAAATTAAGTGAGACAGTTTGGCTTAAAATAAGTGGAAAAATATTTAAAACAAGAAAAATGTGTCCACAGTACACGTTTATCCCATTCTTTGAACAAACCTTACCAGGAATCTTGGATAGGAAATATTAAACATATGTTTAAATTCCTAGGTTTAGACTATATGTAAACCAGTTAAATTTTAAACAAAACCATATAAAAAAATATTAAAAAAAAGTAAAAAATTATCGAACAAAAAATTTAAAGAAATTTGGGTAGCTAGTTTAGAAAGCAATTATTGGAAGTGTACCAATATACAGTTTAACAATAAATTAAGAACTTGTAGATAATTTAAAAAATATTTTATGTTTAAACCATATTCAACAGTAAATTAAAAAAAAAAGACAGGCAAATTGTCACAAGATTTAGAACTAGCTGTTATGATCTTGAATTCGAAAGAGGTAGATATATTTGTATTTAAGTTAAAGACAGAAAGTGTAAGCTATATAAGAACGCAGTTGAAGACAATCTACATTTTCTTTTAAAGTGTCAGGTTCTTAAAGATACTAGATCTCAACATCTGTCTAATTTAAATTCTAAAAATATTTTCTGATGAAATGAAACGTGTTTGTTACTTCAAACGTATCTAAATAATTGCATTCCCTTTTTGAAGAAAGAAAGAAACTCTTAGAAAAGATCAATGTAGCTTGAAAAAATAGAACGAAATTTTATAATAAAATCGATCAAGAGTTGTCTCCCATAGACCTAGGCTAATAAAATTATTGAATTTCTCAAGGTCTCAGTGACTTCAAGAATAAATTTATGTTGATCAATGTTATTCATTTGATTGTTTAGCTCAAATTTTGAGCACCATGATTGGTTAATAAAATTATCATTACCATTTTCATCTTCTCAATGGTTTCCGTTGTAAACCTTTGCTATACCTACATAAATGAAAATAAATATAAAAATTATCAGCATCAGTTGCATGACAAATCCTACAACTTCATGTTCTACAAATGTACATGTATTTCACACAATGTTTTAGAAATTATTTCAAACAAGTATTTTTATTTTTGTCATGTTAAGTACACAGTTCACTGCATACAAAAGAAGGTCAAGTAATCATTTCCGAAAAATATGTTTTATTTTTATCACAGGCACTTGTGGGGTAGACCCCTTTTTTGTGTTTAATTTTTATCAATTATCATTGCTTAGAATATGCCTCATCTAGTTTAAAGTCAATTGACCAATTATGATACAACCCCATATCGTACTTTTATCTTAGTACATACATGGAGACATGATGGACATGATTGTCATGGTTTATAGTTGCAAAATAATTTTAAGGTGTTGTATCGATTAGTAAATTCACTTGAATATAGGTGAGACATGCACAGGTGGTATATATAAGTAGTTTAAACATAGACAATTCATTATTTTAAGCAATAATAATAAGTTACAATTTAAACACAAAATATAAAAGGGGGGGGGGGGGTCCTTCCCACCAATCCTTTTTAAAAATAGTTGCTTGTTTGAACCATTGTTATTGAATAGTTGTGTCCAACCAATTCGTTAATTCGTAGATAAAGAGATTGTCATTTAACTTTTGAAATGTTTTGATTTGAGAAATAGTTGCTTCATGAACTTCACGAATGTGCTTGTTTGAATAATTGGCACTGAAGATCGTATCCAACCATTTTTACTGGCACATTTAATCTCTTACCTTTTCACTAATCTATTAAATTTGTGATGTGTAAAATGCTTAATTTACCTGTGAAATGGACATACTGTGAGGATCTCATAGTCTCCAAAGTATCATAGCTCAAAGAGCACCAGTTCTTCTCAATTTGGATTAACTGTATCAATTTGCAGTCTGATAAATGGGACAATATGGATCTATTACAGTTCCCCAAAGGTAAAAACTCGTCTTCCTTCTTCAACTTTGTGTACTAGTAATTTCCACTGTCTTCTCGAAAACAATGTTTCAAATAACAAACAATATCATTCTTCATGGTGGCTGCCATTTTTAAAAAGCGCCGACTTCTGTAGATTTCTTCAAGAGGAAGTAACTTTTATGACTTGTGGTAAAGATATACCTGTTTTCAGTAAAGCATTTTTATTTTCCATCAAATTTGCTGGTAACAATATTTTGTATTAAAATAATTCAATACTTTCTTAATAAATCCATATTTTCAAATTGTATAAAGGAATTTGGGAAAGTTGTTTTTTTGAAATCTTGATCAGCTTGTTTTATTGTATATTCTTTGTAACTATAGTTCACATATTTCAAAAGTAAATATGTCTGTTTTTAATTCTGAGAAAGCAGCAAGTCATATAATTTGAGGACATATTTTATAGACCTAAACCTTTGATTTAAACCTTTTTTGGGTATTTTTATGTCAATGGACTTATCACATATTTTTGATTTTGCATGGTTCTTTGTTGGACTTCTACTTATTGGAGTTCTATGCAAAATCTTAAACTGGGACATACTAAATTTGTTGGTTTTAGTGCAACAAAAAGGGTAATCTATAAATGAAATCCCAATTTTTCTATATGAGTGCTTAGTTCTTTACACATTTTGTCTTCTTGTTTTGTAGGACGTTCTATATACATTGATTAGATTTTTTGATTAAAGAATTAACATGACTTTTTATTATCTTAAATAAATTCAAATTTTTCATTAAATATGTACATTATTTTTTTCTGGAGCAGTGATCAGAAGTATAAAATGGTATTCAAGGAAAATATTATTAAGATTATATGTTCTGCAGAATTCCTTTAAAGTAAAAAAAATACTGTTTTCATCAAGTAAATCACCTACAAAGAAAACTCCTGATTCAACCCACCTCTGGTATTTTTCTATTAAAGAGAGATAAAACAATGTCAAATATTTCCGAATAGTCTTCAGAGACTCTCTGTGTTAATTAGTAAATATAATAATGTAAACCGTTAATGTTATTGTTAAACTGATTTTAAAAATTTATTTAAATAGCCTCGCAGCACAGCAGATATGCCATGACTAATAGAACCAGTCATCCAAGATCGCCTTTATGTAAGCATTATTATATTTGATATTGGTTATAACTACAAATAAGTCATACACGTTGTTATCATCAACAATGATATAAATCAATAATATTACATTTCTATATGAATTTTGTCCTGTTCTGTTTGGTTTTTGAAAGATGGTTAAAGCAATGTCAAATATGACCATATTCGCAGCAACTCTCCTTTCAACTTCATTTACAAATCAAGCAAGCCTTCTTCGTCATGTGCAATTCTGCGTCGACGTTTAACGTCGCCGTTGGTTGTCTGTCGTCATTTGTCGTCGTTCGTCGTCGTAAACCTTTTAAGAACTTCTTTTCTGAAAACTGTGTGAAAAATGTTACCAAAATTTACATGAATGTTTCAAAAGGTACTTAATTTCAAAAGTTTTATCCGGGTTTGATTCATGTAACATGACAACAACCGCTCAAAATAAAACATTAGGATAACATGCAGTGTAAACTGCTGTTTAAAATAATAAAAAAGCAACTCGAAATCTGAAATTGGCTTAAAATAATTAGAAGGTCGAGGTCAATCATCTACGACACTTTTAGTAAAATAGTCCACCCAACTTTTGGGATAATATCCCTAAAATGTAATCGTACGTAAATTTCTCAATTTCAACTCACAACTGAACTATTAAAGCAGTTAGAGTTAATGTGCATGAGGTAAAAAAAGATTAGCATGTCCAATTGTATCAATTGTGAGATATTCATCAGTTTTGGACCTCCTGTTTTGATGTGATTTCCCCTGAAATGTATTTCTGTTGCAAATTAAGCAATATGTTGTTACTGTCTTGAAAACATAACAAATAGAAAAATATTGTTAACTGTCAAAATAAATATCCAGAAACGTTATTTCTACAAATAATTAAACATTGGCAAATGGTCAAATAACCCTTAATAAGAGTTACTTCAAAATGTTTGGCCTTTATCTTAAATATTTAAAGCAGTAAGGGTACATCTGACATGAAAAAAAAGGAAAAACATCAGCAGCTCAATGTCGGAATACTGTGATTTAAAAAAATAATAGAACATTTTATGGTCTGAACGCCACTACAATGTCACCTTTCACAAATTTTGCAGATCTGGTTATTATTTTGAAAATGATAACAGATAGAGAAAAATTTTGAACAATGAAAATAACCAGAAACGTAATATATACAAACAAGTAAACATTGACAAATTGTCCATGTATCCCTCATAGAAGTAATTGCTCTTGAAAGACCAATTTTACTCCTATTTTGCAGAATCCATATAGACAATGAGAAAAGCAAACGTGTTTACTAAAATTAAATTCTTAAAAAAGTCCATTTAATCGACACTGTACTTTACAGAACTAATTATTAAGATCCAGTTATTGTTGATATCATAAACGTTAACCGGAATTTGCCCTAAAAATTATTTCAAATGTCAGCACATACTTTAATAACTAGCCAGAAGCAGAAAAGGAAAACAGCACTGAATGAATATTTTATCAATCATTATGGGAGTTAGAGATAAAAATCTAATAATGTAAAGAATAAAATTGTAATCTTTGAAAGACCTTTGAAAATGCCTTTAATAAGATCTGCAAATAATTGAGCATAACTGATTGCAATAACAATGAATATAAAAAAGTACAAATGATTTATTAGGTGGACCTATGAGGGCCAATTGGGGTCTTTACTTTCATTAACACTCATCAGAATGTTTACCATTAATGTTATACAGCAACTAAATTTAACAATGTACTTCAATATAGTCAAAAATCCCAAGGGAGATGCCACATTTAAGATTTATGTTAGCATCATTCATTACATTATATATTGGTTATAACTACAGACAAATTATATAAATCGTAATGTTCAACAAAGATATAAACAGATACTAGACTCGATTATTCAACAGTTCTATATAAATTATGTCCTTTTTGTATTGTTCTTTGAAAAATACAGATGGGTGCAGTCCTAACCTGTAGAAAGGTTAACTTGGAGCAGATGTGGTAACTGCTTTCCAAGTTAATCTAAAAAAAAAAGTAAGCAGACAAGCAAGTAAACTTCATCGTTCGAAGACCAGACCTTGATCTTCTTTTTGAGAACTGATGCAATCCAATAAATAAGTCTGCTTCTGACCAGAACTGTGGAAAAACCTGGTATTGACCAGTCCTGAGGACAGGTCTGCCCTAGGCCTAGGACCTGTCTGCTTATGACATATCGTCGTGTTTAAGATTTTTTGTATCAGTCCTGATCTTTTATTATGTAAACAATAATGTTATTGTTCTTTTTCCCAGTACAGCAAATTAATATACTCGTTGGTGATTCTTCATCAATAGTATGCTTACACATTTCTTTTTCTATTGTACATTCTGACATGCATTAAATAATGGCTATACAATGTTATACTTGTGAAACGTTATATATTAACACAGCTATCATAAAATAATTGAATTTCTTTTCTTAATTGGAAGACGAATAAAAGAGTTATCCTACGAAACGAACAAAGATCAATTTATACAATGGGATATGAAAAAAAAATGTCAATGTTTAGTTTTCATCAACTGCGATTGATACATCTTTCCCGATTACATCTAGGATATTTTCCAAGACATATCTAGAATGTCCGACATAATAAACTCGTCCTGCACAAGAATGATATAATTGTCCTTAGACGCAATCAACTACAAATCAATCAATAGACATCAAATTTAGTTATTATAATATTCCCATATGATCATTATACCTTCTTTATTTTTTTTCGGTGCTGTCAAATAGTTTTGTTATACAAACCATCTTGAAATATGAAAAGTACTGATTCTTTGTGACAATCAATATGAATAAAAAGAGGACAAACTGGCACTCTGTATTGATGCAGACAAAATTTTGTAGTCTGCGTGTTCCAATATTCATGCCATTTGTGTTAAACAATCCATTCTAATTAAAAATAATTACTGACTAATTATGCGGGTATTTGGAATTTTATAAGAACGTTTTGATTGATGTGGTCAAATTTGTTTTTACGACCCAATCCGAGAAATACAAACTACTAATTTTTGGTGACGATTCATTATTATGTTTTAATAAAAATGACATGATGGCTTTCTTTACAAAATTTTGTAGACACTGTGTTCAAATATCGCTGTCATTTGTATGAAACAAAAAAATACTGATTTATTATGGATATACAGATTTTTTTTAGCAATATGCAATTATGGTCAGTTTTGGTTGATGCGGTCAAATATTGTTGCTATACGAGTCAGCTTGAAATATGAATTACTGATTTTTAATGACGAGTCAATGTTTTGAATAATAAGATCAAAAAGGAGGCATGCTTCCATTTATAATTGTTGTGGATAAAATTGTTTAGGCATTATTTTCCAAAAATACTGTCATGTATTTTATACCAAGTTATACAAACCATTTCGGTTTAAAATTAATAACTGATGTATTATTCGGCTATAAATGAAAAAAAATGTGGTATCATTGCCAATGAGACAACTCTCCACAAGAGACCAAATGACACAGAAACTAACACCTATAGGTCACTGTACAGCCTTCAACAATGAACAAAGCCCATACCGCATAGTCAGCTATAAAAGCACCGAAATGACAAATGTAAAACAATTCAAACGAGAAAACTAACGGCCTAATTTATGTACAAAAAATGAATGAAAAACAAATATGTAACACATCAACAAACGACAACTGATTTACATTCTCCTGACTTGGGACAGCACATACATACAGAATGTGGCGGGGTTACATGTTAGCGGGATCCCAACCCTTCCCCTTACCTGGGACAGTGGTATGACAGTACAACATACGAACGAACTATAAAAATCAGTTGAAAAAGGCTTAACTCATCAGATTGATACAAATAGAAATACATCTAACAAAAACACAAAGTGAACGTGGCCGGATACTTGTATATCCCAAAAACAAAAGGACACTAAGTACTGACGCAGTTACTGACAGTTAGTTCAAAGCCACTAACAACTAACTGAAAAAAAATCATGTATCTAAGACTTAATTATGAATCATTACACATCTAACATCAAATGGATTAAGTGTAAAGACGTCATTAACAGTCAGAGAAAATCTTGTGCAATGCCAAGATACGAGTATCGACAGATTGTAGATTTAAGAATGTGTATGTGTATATAACAATAAAATCAATATAATTACCAATAAAAACTATATTTAATGTTCTGATAACAGTGTCGAATTGGTAACCTTTAAGAATAAGTTAATTTAAAGGATCGATAAATTTACCAGAATCGTATCTAAATTTCCGGCCAATGTAAACAACATTTCCGTAAAAATGTTCATTTTCCAAAGTAAGAGCATGTATGGTCAGTTTTGGTTGAAGCAGTCATTTTGTTTTGCAAGCCAGGTTGAGATATGAAAACTGCTGATTCTTTGGTGACGATTCTTTATTTAGAATGAAAAGAGGACATTACGGTAAACTTTATTTTTTCTATCTAGAAAGACTACCATTAACCTTTTATTTATGTAAATCAATATAGGGTGGTCCTGGTCACAAGTTAACTTGGAGTTGAGCAGACCAGCCATAATATAACTTCAGATGAAATCTGGTTCAATGGGATTTGTTTTATTGCTGAACTTGTTTCGAATAAGTTTTAGTAGCGGATCAGATTTTAGTAGTGTCTAAAGTTTTCGGCAGTCAAAAAATTAATACGACGACCAACTCCGCTATTCAAGTTAACTTGCTTGTTTAACTATTACCGGCCGGAGCTGTTTTCAACCCTGTCGCAGGTAAACGTTGATTCGTCAAACTGACTGGATAGCTTACCTTGCTGAAAAAGGTTGGAACTGCACCAATCTGTAGAAAAAGCTATGTTAAATATTTCAATAGGCTCTTCGGAGCCTCTTAACATAATAATTTGTACCGTTAATGTTATTGCACAACTACCGTTTAACCATTTTTTTTCAATAGTCCAGCATCACAGTGAAGATGTTATGTTTGAAAAAAAAAACAGTCATCCAAGATCGACTGCGGTGTTGACATGAACATCAATTAAATAGTCATTTTTATAAATTTACTGTTTGCAAGGGTCATCGGTCCTCTTCAACTTTGTACTTTTTTGGCTTTCTTTACTATTTTGATATGGGCGTCGCTTATGGGTCTTGTGTAGACGAAGCGCGCGTATGGTGTATTAGATTATAGGCCCGGTACCTGTGATAACAATTAGCATGTCGAAATGTCCTACTGTAATGTTTATTTGTGTATTTCTCTGTCCGTAATTTTCTTGCATTTATTTCTACTGTAGTACTGTCATGTAATCTTATCATTTTAGTGTTATATTTAACAATGCCATACAAGCGGGAGGTTTGGCAAGCCGCAAAACCAGGTTCAACCAACCATTTTTTGTTATTAAAATGTTCTGTACCAAGTCAGGAAAATTGCAGTTGTTATCTTATAGTTCGTGTCTGTGTGTGTTGCATTGTCGTTTTGGTTTTTTGTTGCACTTTAGTGTTTCTGTGGTTTCGTTGTTTTCCTCTTATAGTTGATATGTTTACCTCAGTTTAGTTTGTAACCCGGATTTGTTTTCTCTCAATCGATTTATGACTTTCGAACAGCAGTATACTACTGTTCCTTTATTTATGAAAGCATTATATATGTGGTTATAACTTCTGAAAAACCATATACATTGTAATTATCAACAATGACAATCAACAACAGACGAACTACACAGTTATTTCGCAATGATATACGCATTGTGTTCACTTTTTTTTTCTTTGCAAGAAAGTTAAAACATTGATAATTTTTCAATACTCGGATCTTCTGTATTTGTTGCCAATCTTGCACACAAAGCCATCTGAACTTTCTCCATCACTTAGCGTTCGATGTTGTTGTCCGTCGTCGTAAACCATTCAGAATTTCATTTTTTTTCAGAAACTTCTGTGAAATATGTTACAAAATTATTTGGATATTTAGTTCAAAAATAAATAAACATACAGGGATTTGATCAATAAAAGATGTCAGCGGTTACTAAAATTATATCACAGGGGTTAATTATAATTTACAAATAAGTTGACCTAATCGAAACTGTCAATTGACCGTTTACAGCAGTTGAAAGATAATTTTATCCATTATTTCGGTTTTTTGTAGAAATCATTATACATATGGAGGTGTAAATTAAGAAAAATATGCTAGGCATCAAATGATCTTCAGATAAGTCAACGTGGACGAAATTGTCAACAGACTATAGTACTCCTTTAATAAGTTATTGCCCTTGCAAGTTTAAATTTAATCAAAAGTTTCTGCACAAACGTAATTAGACAGTTAAAAACCGAAAAGGAATTCAGTTAAGTACAATAAGATCATCAAATCACGCTCAAATCTTGTCAACAGATCCTTTATATATGTTTTCCTCTAAAAAACAAACAACAACAAAAAAATTGAAAAATGCTAGAGTGTTTTCAGTTTCCCTTTTTGATTTCATGGGGAAAAAACGAAAGTAAAAAGTGTTTTTGTTTTTCATTGTTGATTTTTCAAAATAAAAAAAAAAAATAATAAAAAACGGAAATGTTTTTGATATTTCAAAACAAAAAACGAATACACTAACATACTTAGACCTTAGAGAAAAATTGTGAAGAGTAAAATGATAATCATTGCAAGACCTACAACATGCCACTAAATCATGTCAACAAATAGGCAAACATAACTGATGGCAATAAATGTGAAAATAACATATTTTCACTATATGTGCGATAAGGAAATGGGAGCATCTTGATGTTATCTAACACATATAATAGTTTTTACCGTTAATGTGACATTTTTTTTAAAATAGTTCCGAGTCGCAGTGGAAATGCAATGTTAGAAACACCTTATCGTCGAGGGTTTTCGTTTGGTAAGCAGAACTATATTAGATATTATTTTTAACTACAAATACATTAAATACATTGGTATTGTCCACAACAATATAAACTATCAAACCTGTCTCTTATTCAGCAATTATATAGATCATTTAGCTATATTGTAAGTATTTTGTCAGGAATACTGATCTTTTCCGTTTTCATTTTTAGCTGTAAGTCTCCTATTTGCAGTATCCTTGCTTAAGATGAACATTCTAATCTTGCACAAAAAGCCATCTGAACTTTCTCCATCACTTAGCGTTCGATGTTGTTGTCCGTCGTCGTAAACCATTCAGAATTTCATTTTCTTTCAGAAACTTCTGTGAAATATGTTACAAAAATTATTTGGATATTTAGTTCAAAAATAAATAAACATACATGGATTTGATCAATAAAAGATGTCAGCGGTTACTAAAATTATATCACAGGGGTTAATTATAATTACAAATAAGTCGACCTAATCGAAAATGTCAATTGACCGTTTACAGCAGTTGAAAGATAATTTTATCCATTATTTCGGTTTTTTGCAGAAATCATTATACATATGGAGGTGTAAATTAAGAAAAATATGCCAAGCATCAAATGATCTTCAGATAAGTCAACGTGGACGAAATTGTCAACAGACTATAGTACTCCTTTAATAAGTTATTGCCCTTTCAAGTTTAAATTTAATCAAAAGTTTCTGCACAAACTTAATTAGACAGTTAAAAACCGAAAAGGAAATCAGTTAAGTACAATAAGATCATCAAATCACGCTCAAATCTTGTCAACAATTCCTTTATATATGTTTTTCTCTAAAAACAAACAACAACAAAAAAATTGAGAAATGCTAGAGTGTTTTCAGTTTCCCTTTTTGATTTCATGGGGAAAAAAACGAAAGTAAAAAGTGTTTTTGTTTTTCATTGTTGATTTCTCAAAATAAAAAAAAAAAAAAAAACGGAAATGTTTTTGATATTTCAAAACAAAAAACGAATACACTAACATACTTAGACCGTAGAGAAAAATTGTGAAGAGTAAAATGATAATCATTGCAAGACCTACAACATTCCACTAAATCATGTCAACAAATAGGCAAACATAACTGATGGCAATAAAGGAAAACAATAAATGTGAAAATAACATATTTTCACTAGATGTGCGATAAGAAAATCGGAGCATCTTGATGTTATCTAACACATATAATAGTTTTTACCGTTAATGTGACTTTTTTTTTTTAAATAGTTCAGCATCGCAGTGGAAATGCAATGTTAGAAACACCTTATCGTCGAGGGTTGTCGTTTGGTAAGCAAAATTATATTAGATATTATTTTTAACTACAGATACATTAAATACATTGGTATTGTCCACAACAATATAAACCATCAAACCTGTCTCTTATTCAGCAATTATATAGATCATTTAGCTATATTGTAAGTATTTTTTCAGGAATACTGATATTTTCCGTTTTCATTTTTAGCTGTAAGTCTCCTATTTGCAGTATCCTTGCTTAAGATAAAAATGCTTTTTTGTTATTTAATGTTAACATGGATCTTGTCTATATACCAGCTTTGATTATTTGGTATCATACATATTTTCACTTCTTCTTACTATGAACATCAAAATTATTTCATTTTTCCTAAGATGCTGTTCTTGGACCTGTACAGGAAGTTTTATCTAGCACTAATTGTATAGTTTTATTGTTGATATTCACCCCATATGTACCAAGTGTTAGATTAGTTTTATTGATATTAAAGAAATTTCTTGGTATTCCTAAACGGAAGATTTTATACACACAGAAGAAGAAGTATACTTAACAACACAATTATTTTCATTTACCTGTGTATAATATGACACAGGTTTCTTCAAAAGTGATGATTTTCTAAAGATTAATTGACATTTCACAGTGATATCATACTTTAACTTTGTTTAAACCTGTTTATTTACTTTTGACTTTAATTATTTATCCCTTGTAATTTTTTATTAACTGTGTATTTGCATTCAGGTGTCTCGTGTCGAATTTATTCGTTCATTGTATGTTTATTTACGTTTTTTGATTGAGTTAAGCCTTCCAATTGATATATTTTAGTGTGTTTTTCTATGTTGTGATGTTATACTATTGTTTCAGAAAAGGGAGATGGTTTGGTACCATCAAAACGTTTAATTTCGCTGCAAATGTTTGCACCTGTCCTAAGTCAGGAATTTGATTACAGTAGTTGTCGTCTGTTTATGTAGTTCATACGTGTTTCTCGTTTCTCGTTATTATATAGATTAGACCGTTGGTTTTCCCGTTTGAATGGTTTTACACTAGTAATTTTTTGGGGCCCTTTACAGCTTGCTGTTCGGTGTGAGCCAATGCTCCGTGTTGAAGGCCGTACCTTGACCTATAATGGTTTACTTTTATAAATTGTAACTTGGATGGAGAGTTGTCTCATTGGCACTCATACCACATCTTCCTATATCTTTTCTAGTTCTAATTGATTTGCAAAATAGTTGAACTATGCTAATGTGTATCTTAAACCACTTTCCTGGTTCTTACAATTTTGGTTTCGATCGAAAAATAAATTACACAGTGCAACTTCTAACAGGATTACAACAAGAAAATTAATTTTAAAAATGTTGCCAAAAGTCAAAATTTGCTCGCTGCGGAAAATGCAACAGCTTGATATTCAGTTAAGATACTTGATGGCTGTTTTCTGCTATTTGGTTGGATTGTTGTCGTTGACACATTCCTTATTTCCATTCTCTTCTCCATTGTGGACTATTAGTTCCCATTGGTATCCTTATCTCAGTAGTCAGTGCTTTAGTACTTACAATATTCATAATTTATCGTTCTTAAATTGACCGATCATTAATTGATAAACCTTAAGAAACTAAGGTTTCAGCTTCTTCCTGGAAACATGACTTCAAATGGATTGTTTTATGTCTCATTTAGTCATGAAAGTTTTATCTTGGTTCGTAAATTATACATCCATGGCTTTCAAATGTTGGGCCTTATGAAGATAAAAACTCATTTTAGATACAATTTGGTATGACAAACGCGTGTTTTGTCAATATAAAAATCATCAGTGGCGGTTGAATTACAAAAGCGGGAAATCTAAATCAAAGACTAAGTTAAAAATTATAAAAAAGCAAAAAATCAGAACAAAGACAGAAAAGCATCAATAATGATACACAAATTTGGACACATTATATCGTAAACTTTTAAATGTACTCAATGTTAAACATTGCTGTCCATCTGTTTTAACTAACTGGATTTTAATCTTATTCTGAATCCATATCAATATTCAAAATTCGTCTACATTTTCTCAATTTGTGATTATAATTATAATTTTAATAACATTAACATGATTATAGTACCAATTTTACTACAATAGATTCGCACTTCGACAAGATGCCGTAGCAAAAATAAATGAAAATTTTCAGCCCTTTAAAAATGTTAAAGAGAGGATACAACCAAATGTAATTCAAACCAGGAAAAGGAATCAAAGCTTTAAATTTGCATGAGGGAGATACCTTCTTTAATCAAAAATAAATTTGAAATGTATAACGATTTTCAGATATGAAGCAAAAGACAAAAGGGAAATTTAGATTAGGTCTAGTTCGATTGAAATTGTCAAAATTAAAGTTAACTTTTGCCGGAATGGTTTCGAAGTTGACCTGTAATAGTAGCTGACCAAATCACTACTTTGCCTTACACTTCACGACCAAATTTTTTTTACATTGTCATTTTATCCCTCTTCCTGCTATTTGATGCATAAACATTAAGAAATAAATTTTGCAGGGGTATGAAAAAAAATAACTAATACACTGTTCATAGAAACGACTTTATTTGTAGACGACGCAAATCAAAGGCCGGTACGTGTAACTGTGTTCCCAGACCTAATCGAATTTATACTCCCAGATACTTCCCTTTAATGATGCGCATTGTGAACAATTTGAAATGATATGACTCGACTTTATTTGTTAAAATATTCATTCTAAATTATAAGTTTATATTTGGTAGCAGGTATGCTAGTACGTGAAATATTTGATCTATACCAAATTTATATTTTCCGGGTAAATTAAACAAAACAAAATAAAAACAAAAAAAGTTATGTTTTAATATTTATTTTTTAAGTTCGGGAAGGAATAATTTTCTGAATGGTACAATTTGAGTAACGTCCAGTGGCAAACATTTCATACATATTTCGGACAAAACGTCATGGGATATTCAGTCTTGTTAAGATTTGATTTTGATTTTTGGTGTTTTAACGCCACTTTTAAGCACCGCTTTTGGGCTATTTCGTGGCGGCCAGTTTTTATTGGTAAAGGAAGCCGGTGCGCCCGGAGAAAACCACCGACCTTCGATAGGAAAACTGACAATCTTAGTCAATTAAGATTGGAGTCGAGTGCACCCGCACGAGCGGGGTTCGAACTCACAACCTCAGTGTTAACTGGCTAGTGATTACAGTAGTAACTACTTAGACCACTCGGCCACCGCGGCCCCAGTCTTATTAAGACGTTTACTTGATATTAATTGATATATAATTGAAATCCAGTTGAAATTATCAAGCAAGCTCAGAGAACCTAACAAATCAAATCAAACATTTGGTTCATTATTCATTTAAGTTTGAATGATGGGTTGAAAAAGATGATGAATGAATAATTTAACTGGCACTTAACAAAGAAATCGCTAGACCTGTTTAAAAAAAAACGAAAATTGGTCCTGCAACTAATAAATGTCTAAGTGCTAGTATCATTCTGGATAAATAACACTGAAATGAGAGATGTTCATGTTCTGTTAAGATGGGGTCAGCAATATTGATTCATTTGTATATATAGATGGTTGGTCTTGTATCAGGATGTAGGGGTGCATGTGTATGTGTATATTTTTATGTGTTTTTGTTTACAATTGTATATATACATGTATGTGTGTTGGTAAATATGATGTGTTGTTGTTGTGCTTACGTTATTTGTTTCTTTTTTCGTTACTTTATTTTCTTTTATTCAGCATGTTGATTATTATTTAGCATGTTGACTATTATTAGTATATGCTATTCTTTGGTATGTCTTCTCTTAAAAACAAACAATACACGAATTTAAAAATCAAAACATGCAAATCGAAGTACAAAATGAAGTTTCACAGAACGTTTTTTATATATCTTTTAGTTTTACTTTAGCACAAAAATTATTTGCTCATTTTATTTATACTATGATGCTCTCGACCAAAGTTTTTAGGGGTTGGGGTAACTCTTAGTAAAAAATTTAAACATTGTGAAAACACTTTTACATATATATGCAAATGTGTATGTTTTGTTAATACTGCTTGGATATATTGGGCTTATAGATATTTATATTTATTATTATTTAAGCTATTCTTGTTTAACCACTTGATTATATTATGTCGACTATAACTATTGATAGTGTAAACTGCAGGGGTTTATCAGAAACAGTCAAAAGAATTGATATATTTACAAAATATAAGGACTTATGATATAATTATATTAGTTGACACCCATAGCACATCTGAAAAAGAAAAACAATGGCTGCATGAATGGGTATATGTGGGGAAATTTAGCTCTTATTCTAGTAAAATTAGAGGGGTAGCTAGTCTTTTAAGAAATACTTTTTGAATTTAAAATCCATGGGGAAACGATAGATTTGTCTGGTAATTTTATTATATTAGATATCACCATTCAGGATTACCGTAAAACTTTGGCAGCAATATATGGACCGAATAATAATGAACCAGTCTTTTTTGAGAACATGAAAAACAAAATATCCAACTATGGCAATTAGTCAATTGTAGTGGTGGGAGATTGAAATGTTGTTCAAGATTATGAGATGGACACATTATATTATAGAAATGAAAATAACCCCTAGTTAAAAGCCAAGATACATGAGGTAATTCATGACCTCGATTTATTATATATATTGTGCCTGCAACACCCTTTTGAAAAGATGTACTCATGGCGGGGTCCAAATCGCAAACAAAGTCGTTTGGACTACTTCATGATTACCTCTGATATAGAAGCATTTGTAATTTCATCAGATATAGGGATAAGTTATAGATCGGATCATTCTCCGGTACTTATTAATTTAAAATGTTCAAACCAGATTAGAAGGACGGGTACATGAAAATTTGATAAGTCTTTTGAGGGAAACTGAATTTATTGACAAAGTTAAAGGGGACATCAAAATTGTCATCGAAGAATATGAGTCTGATCCATCTATGGATATTGAGACAGAGGATAAACAGTTTAATATAAGCTGTCAGCTTTTATGGGATATGATTAAGATGAAAGTTCGCGGATCTGCAATCTCATTTTCGTCATTTCAGAAGAAGGAACAAAATAAAAAAGAAAAAGAATTATTATATAAGATATTATTATTAGATTAAAAACCTCAAAGAGAATAACTTGTCATCGGTACACCAAGAAAGGGAAGAATTGTAACTAGAATTAAGAATAATAAGGGGAAAAATGTCAAAGGGATAATTACAAGAGCAAAGGCAAGATGGCAAGTAGAGGGGGAAAGGGAAGTAACTATTTTTGTAATTTGGAAAAAAAACTACACAGAAAAACATATTCCCAAACTTATTCTGGAGGACTAATCTGAGATAACAGATCCATGTATATTTAGAAATGAACAAAAACAATTTTAATTATTTAAGCACAGCTGGCCTATTTTGTGTGGTTTCCGATTGAAGTAGATTTCAGACAGGACTTCCTTAAAGACGAAAAGAAAATTCATCGTGCAGAGTTCTCTAATTTCTATTTTAGATAAGGTTGATGGTGTTCTTTTCAATGATTCGTTTCAATGATTGCTTGCATCTCGTATAACCCAGTGATGGTTATTTTCTTATATGAAATGAAATGTTATGTGAAATTTTTCTATAGTACTGGACAGGATAAAACTTTACTCATGCCAAGTATTTTTTTTATTTGAAACAAAGATAAATTATGCACAATTTTTTGAAAAGTGCAAATTTAACAAAGACTAATAGGGGAAAATCAATGGTGGTATTACACCTAGAGGGAGAGCGTTCCAATCCCGGGTAGTTTTTGGGAAGAAAGAGTTTTAAAGATAATCACTATTGGCCGATGGTAGTTGGAAGTATTTGTTATGCATGTTCCTAGACAGTCTTTTTGCTGGTATTAGACAATCTTTCTTTGATATGGCCACTTTTTTGTGTTTTTGTTTTTGTAGAGCATAGTGAGTTTTGGTACTTTTCTTCTTTGCCCTATAGATGTCCATTTAAGGAGTTAGAACATCGTGCTAACACTGGAGTGGATTCTGTGTTTGTTTGGTACACAAAGTGCTCCTCTTCTTTGAGCCAGCTCGATTCTGTCAATTTCTGTTTTAAGGTATGGATACCATCGGCTCCATAGTATGTCGTTTATATAACTCAGTTTATATGTTATGTTCTTGTATGCTCACACTGTATGGACTTTATTTACCGGAGTCTTAGTATAAGCGTACAATTTGTTTGTTTCAGTTTATTCAAATAGCTGAACTAAGTACGTACATTGATGCAGCTATAGTTTTCATTTTGAACCTAAAAGTAATCGAGGCAATTAAATGGTCCTCTATAATCATAACCTGATTTTGTTTTAAAGGAAAACCAAAATCACATGGAGGTTCAGATAAAGAATTCATCGATCCACTTGCGTATTGTACTGGAACAACTGATATTGAGGACGGCGTTGATACACTGGTAATAGATGGTAAGAACCATTTTTAAGTTTTTAGTTGTCATTATATCATTCTTACATTTCAATGTACATAATTAAAGCAGGTTTTGCGAAACCACTCATGTACTCAACATGAAAATAGTTAAGCTCTCTCGGTTTCATACCACTTTGAAAAGGGAATCATGACTAACTCATGTTTGATGATTTTTAAAATGTCAAACAAAACAATAGGATATAAAACAAATCGTTTTAAATCGTATGTGTAGAATTTAAATGATAGGATACCTTTGCAGAAAAAGGAATATATAGATTTGTATAGTGCATAAAGTTATCCAGTTGCAAATGTTGCTGGTTTTTATATGTGTATGAAGGAAAATAATGTTTGCACCAACATGAATGGTACGGGGATCAAAAAGTGTTGTAAAATAATTGTGTGATGTCAAACAATCAGTATTACTTATAATTCAATGTTAAAGTTGTTGGCTATACTACTGAGGATTCTTTAATATTCGTTGGATATCAATTGTCGAGGATTTCGGGGGTACCTGGGAACCAAAAATTTAAATGTTCAACGAATTACAAATGTTCTGAAGGTTTGTATGCAGACTTTGCAATAACAACGAAATTAAATGTCCAAGAAAATGCAACCTTTCCTCCATACACGAAAATTGGTACCAACGAAAATAAATGAATCCACAGTATTTAATAGTGTGATAATGATTTCTTTATTTTCATCTCATTGTGGTATCATAGTCAACATTCATTTCTTCATTTCAAAAATTCAAATGTGCCGTTTGCAAATCAACGTTTCTTTAAAAAAAGATTTTGAACAGTTATATTTTTGCTCCTGATGATGATCAATGCACATTAGAACATATGTTTATAAAAGCTTTGGTTCACCTACATACGATGTCTTACAAAGAGAACATGTTAACACGTGGAATTATCGGTGTCATTCATCCAAAGCGATAGCAAAGCTTTGTGCGTTTTGCAGTGAATGACCTTATACCTTTATTATGCACAGTTTATCCTTTAACATCGCTAAAACTAATTGCTGATAAAGAATGCGTTTATAGATTTTACAAATCCCTTTCGAATTTAGTTGGTAAATTGAGGCTTAATATAGTTAGTGACATTATATTTTTTAAATAATGATCACAATTGAATCATGCTTGTTTTGCGCTACTTTCAAACAATTTTAAATAAGGGCAATAGAGATCCTGCTGGTTGCTTGGTTTTGCACATGTTCTGCCAATAATCCTTCAACTAAATTCATTTTACGTTTTGTTTTTAAATTTCATATTTATGTTGTTATGATCAGGCTTCTGATACAATACAAATAAAATAGCAATATAATGAAATAAAATAAACCGTTTGAACGGAAAAGGCTTTAACATGTACGAAGGCAATTAGAAATCGTATTACAGCATTGAAATTCAGAAACTATGTTTTAGAATTAAGGTTTTTAACTAACGCAATCATAGATTTGAAACGTCTAAATACAGCACAAACAACCTTTTCCAAAAGACCAAAAGAGTGAAAAAATATATTTTAACAAAACGCATTTGACTAACAGGTCGAACAACTGATGTTCTTAAACCCTGCTGACTGCCATTAACGATTGCCAAATAAATTGATCACAAGGTGTAACAAAATTGATCTCTATATTAATATAATACCAAGTAGAAAACAATAAACGTGCGGCAAAGATTGTAAACCACAACATGAGGTGCTAAATTTATTTACACCATATCCGGATTTCGACAATTAATGTCTCTTTAGTGATGTTAGGGATCGAAAAGTATTTGGAAGGCCATTTAATTTACCTCAATTTAGGATAGACTCTTGAATTCTAAAGAGTCAAAAAGGATGAACGGGTTATATAAACAGGAGGGAAAATATAATACAAGCCCAACCGAAATAAATATAAACAAGTCTAAATTGAAATCAACGTTCAAACCTATGATTGCGTTGGATAAAAACCGCAATTTTTATACTTGTGCATATATATATATATATATATCACCAATTTTTATACGTGTGCATATATATATATATATCCACCAACTCCACACTTTAGAACCTGATGGTCTTAACGAAAAAGATGAGAAAAGATACAGGAAAGATAAAGAATAATTTAGTACACAGCATCGTCCTTTTTATCCTGTAATATTGGCCAATGGACGTTGATAACTTCAACTACCAATTTTGTAAAAATCTTGAACTTCATCCAAATTATGTATTATTTTCAAGGCAGCTAAATTCAAGTGCAACATATACATTGAGCTGCAAAAGTTTCTTATCATCTACATCCGATTTCACCTGGATAGATGCACGCTTGATAAAGCTAGTTAGTCTAGCGAAATATTGCGTTTATTTTCATCATTTTGTAAATATTTTAAACATTCTTATATTTACATACTAAATAGTGTGTTAAAATTACATTGTTAGGCAATCTATATATATATATATATATATATATATCACCAAGTATTTATATTACATTGTATTTGTTTGGTTTATAAATAGTAGTTTTGAGTGATCCCGCTTACATTAACAAATACAAATCCCAGCACATATAAAAAGTTAAAAACAAAGTATTTTATAGCAAGGATGGTTGACTATTCGCAAGTTGTAAGTGTTTTGTTATTGCTATGATTCCAGGCAATATACTTTTAGTCAATTCAGTACTGTTCAATAGCATTTTAGACAACTCATTACGTTGTTGATGTGTTCAGGTTAATTACAAGTACTGAACAGTCTGGATATAGACTGAACAAATATTAAATGACTGCAAGCAAATTATCTGAAAAGCAAAAAATTGATCGCCTTCAAAATGTATGTAAATTTATTGGAAAACTTAAATTGATCTAACAAGTACTTGTTCTTTTATGAGTTATTAAAGTCAAAATGAGATGAGATCAATATTGGTTTATTGATATATGTTGTTATTGATACAAGTATAAATTTCTTTTTTATTAGATTCGAAATCAGAATTACAAACGGCACAAAGCAAAGCGTCGCAAAGTTTAGTAGAAAACTGGATTTTTCTAAAGGAAAATAGCAATGCTACTACATGGAAAAAGCAATTCCTTGAACACAAACTTCTTTGTGAAAAAGATGTTGAGACTTTGGGAGCAAAAATGAAAAGATCAGAGTTGGCGGAGTGGCTACTTATGAAAACTTTACAGAAAGTTAAAACAAAAGAAGACATTGAACTAATAGAAACTGTAGTCTGTAGTGATGTCGGGATTCTGCCTAGAAGAGGGAAGACAGAACAAGCTTTCTGGCAAGGTTTGTCGATTAACATTTTAAGAAGCATTCGGTTCTTTTAAAAGTGCATATACTAAGTCAGGACTAACATAATTACATTATTTTGAAAAACTGAATTCTCCCTGTCATTCCTTCTGTGTAGGTATAAGAAGGAATATACTATCTGTTAATTGTGTAGTATTCTATCATCCCTCTAAATTTCAAGATGGAAAATAATTTCCAATAAGTTGCATATACATGTAATAACACAATAGAAGATGTGTATTTTACTTGAACATTTTAATTGTATACCACCAACTGTTCACCTTAGTTTCATGTTCATAACCAATTTTGATAATAATGTACCCATATGATATGTAGGCGTGGCAGTCATTACACACTGAACATTGATGTCAAGGTCGATTTCTAATATTGGTTTTACAAATATATACACAGAAGACAATGTAATTTTATCTAATCCATATCAATTTTTCAATCATACGCCATCCCTTAATTGATCTTGATAAGTGCAACTACTTTAGATTCTAGGATAAGACAATATTTTAAAGATTAAATGCCTGTAATCATAAACAAAATGTTTTGAAAACAATTCACAGAAAGAATTGTATGTCATTATTATCATTTACGAATCATTTACTATCACATGTTATTGAAATGAATTAAATGTAATACGTGAGATCAAACAACGATAAAGTATTAAATGTATACTTTTGTATATAGTTCACTTGTAAATTAAAGAAATAGGAAATGTCATTCTCTCTGATTTCAAGTACACAGTCATGTAATTATATTTCTACAGTGTGTAGTATGTTATTGTTTCTCAAGCTTTTGGAGTCATACCTCTTCTTTAGGTTGTATCCTCAAATTGAAATTCACTTGGCTATGTGAAATGAAAGCACCATTTAAATTTTTTTTTAATTGGATAAAAGGATATTATCCATATATCAAAAGATACCTCATTTGTTGTTGTGCTTAATAAGGTTCGTATTAGAACACAATAAAACCGACAAATGATGATGTACAATTAATACATATGTGAAAACTGACTGTATCCTGAAATATCAATCCACCAGACTCAACATACATGTTGTCGATAAAAAATGTACGGCATTTTGATTATACCTGAATCCTCAATTTGAAATAGGAATGAACATGAGGAATATGTCAAGAAACCAACGATCCGACCAAAGAGCAGATTTGTTTTTTTATCATGTCAAAAAAGAAGGACCCTTCCTGACATGGTAGTATTTTTATTACTTGACATTTAACTTTAAAAAAAATCTTCTCCTCTGAATTTACTGGGTTAGATTTAAACAAACTTGGCCACAATCTTCCTTTTGGTGTTTAGTTTTACAAATGTGATCGACAGCCCCGCCTGCCCACCAACATGGCTGCCACGGTTAAAAATAGAACTTAGGGTAAAATAAAGTTTTTGGCAGATATATTTCTGAAACTGAAGCATTAAGAGTAAAAATGTTCATCAGGATTAGATCTATCTACCCTAAAATTTATAGACGAATCAGACAATCATGAATTTTAAGGACATTTTGCTGTTTAAGTAAACATGAAAAAAAATTTAAGTTGACCCCCTGAGGAGTGTTTGTCCTTTATGGTCAATTGTTAATTTTATTTCGTAATCGTCTCCTCTTAAACTGCATAGACACATTCAACAAACGTGACCACAATCATCATCGGGGTATTAAATTTTAAATATGTGTCCGATGACCCCGTCTGTCAACTATCATGGATGACATGGCTAAAAATAGAAAATGGCGGTAAAACGGAGTGTTTGGCTAATATATATAACTTTATATATAGTGCAACATGATATTATACTTTTACATACATTAATACAAAGTCAATTATCCAGCCATCAAAGGCTTACGAGGCACTGTCAATTAATATCTATAATTAGCGCTAATATTAAAAATATGATATTTATACTTCAAGAACATTTTCAAACAAGATTATTTATATGTCGTGATATGAAAGTAATTGAGCTCTGATTTTTGAAATCTTGAATATATTGTCAGCAAAGGCATTGTTTCTTTCACACAAATATAAAGGACATTGAACTAAAACATGGTGTTCGTCCTCAACGGATAAATTGGCATTACAAACTGTACAAAAACGTCTATTTGACGGGATACTGCGATAACGCCCAAGTTCTAATTCAAACGGAAAAGGTCCACTACGCATTCTGGTTTAAGTCGATCTCTGTTGTCGTGTCATATTAGTGGATATGTACTGCTGTGTTTCAAAGTTTGTTTTAAGTTTAAAGTTCGCAATTTTGGCATGTTCATAACATCCAGTTTCCATTTTCGTGATGCTTTTGACGGAACAAAAGTTCTGAATAGTTGGCAATAAACTTTACGCTAACTTTAAAGTCCATTGGTGTAATTATTGTTCAACATTTCCAAAAATTCACATTTTTCCATCACTGATTTTAGCTCGTTGTACCATGTTTTCCTATATCTTTCTGATACAGTTGAATCCCATTGAATACGATTTGGAATTCGACTTGCGTGCATACTTGCTATTCTATGCCAAAGTCTTATCATGTTACAGTGGGGACGGATATATGCAGGAGTCCCATCCATGTCACCACAAATAGCCGAAATCGAACTACATTTCCCAACTCCCATAGATGTCCTGATTGCTCTGTATTTGAGTCTTTCATTAATATCGTAAGGCTTGTAACCCCAGACACCTGTTGCATAGTCCATGATTGGGATAAATGTACTTGCAAATACTTTTCGTATGTTTCGCAATCAAAACCATACACCAGAAAATATTTTGATGATAAGGCACCAAGTGCTCTACTACTAGCTGTGATGAGTTCATTAACGCACTCGTTATATTCTAGAGTTTCAGATATTGTTAGTTCTAGGTATCGATATCTTGGTGTGTATTCGATAACTTTTTTCCCCATCTTAAATACTCTGTCTGAGCGCGGAAATGACTTTTGTCTAATGTGCATAACTTTAGTTTTGTCACAGTTCACTTGCAAGCTCCATTTCATATACCAGTTATTTAGTGCTGCCAATTGTTTTTGCAATCCGTTTTCTGTATCCGACATAATTACAATATCGTCAGCATAAAGAAATGTACTGATTTCAAAGTCAGTATCTAGACAGATCCCACAATTCAAAGCATTTATATCTGTAGTTAAGTCGTTGATGAATAGTGCGAATAATGTTGGAGCCAACATTCTTCTTGACGAACACCAGTTTCGACCGAAAACCAATATGTTAGAGTACCGTTTAGTCTAGCACAGCTTTGTAGATTTGTATACATGCTTTAGATTGTTCTCAGCATATTTCCATAAACTCCCGCTTTGACAAGTTTATGCCAGAGGTAGGTATGGTTAACAGAATCGAACGTTTTGCTAAAGTCTATAAAATATATGTGTGTGTCAAGTTTCATTAGCTTTCTGTTTCTTAAAATGGTGCACAGTGTATAAATGTGGTCTAAACAGGATCTCATTTTTCTGAATCATTTCTGTTCGTTACAGAGTGTGTTATTTCGCTCAAAAAAAGCGTCAAAAATTGTAAATGAATGTATCGTTTACCAGTGTAGTGTCTAATTTAGATAGTTTGTAATATTCGCGTTTCCATCTTTTGAGGATTGTTTCCTGGTCTGTAGAGAAGCTTCCATCCTCTATACGGAAACTGTCAATATCTATGCTTTGGCGGCCCTAGCTTTTACGATTTCTCTCCAAAATTCCTTCGGATTTGATTCATTTAAAGTCTTAATTCTGTCACAGATCGATGCGTTCACACTGCCATAATCGTTTGTCAAATTTTTTTTTTTCCCGATAAACGTGATTCTGAGAAATTCCCGTGTCTATGTACACCCTTTATATTTCAGATAATCCTTTTCAGATCGGTTACCCTTAGAAAGTAGCTCTTTAAACTCAGCATTCCAATATGGTTTTTGTATTTGTTTTCTCAGTTTTTTTGTTACATTTCCTCCGATATTTTTAAAGGATAAATAATTATCCATTTCACTATTTAGTACAGATACAAAGTTTCCGTATAATCAATCGATTTCGTTTTAAACATTTTGACAATTTTCCATTTGTTCAATAACATATCATTGATTTGCGAAAATATTATTCGGAACATTACATATTTCATATTGCGTTTGTTTGAACATGCATTACTGTCTTTACCATTCTCACTGTAATTGCTTGTATATTCACTAATTGAAAGACTACATGAAAGAATTGAGTGATCTGGAATTGTTGCTTTATGTCTCTGAAACTAAGGCATTTAGAGCAAATATGACAATGCATATAACTGTTCATTTGGTTAAGATTCATCTGCCCTGAAATTTTCAGATGAATCGGATAACCTGTTGTCAGATTGCTGCCCCTGAAATGGTACTTCTAAGGATATCTCGCATTTTTTTTTAATATTATCTTCAATATTGTTATAGATAAAGATTACAATGTAACTGTAAACAGCAGTAATGTTCAGAAAAGTGAGATCTACAAATAAGTCAACATGACAAAAATTGTCAGATGACCCCTTTGGGACTTATTGCCCTTTAAATTCAACTTTTACAATTTTTTTTAAATTTTTGTAACTATGAACACAAATCTCCTCTCTGAATCTACTAAGACAAATCATCTTTAGGATACCTTGTTTACAAAATGTGTCCTAAGACCCCGCCTGCCAACCAACATGGCTTAAAATAGAACATAAAGGCGAAATGCAGTTTTTGGCTTATATCTCTAGAACTAAAGCAACAGTATAATGGTTGCATTATTTCATGCACCAATTATTTACGAAAATATCAGGTGAACGACACAGGCTCATTGGAGCCTCTTGTTTTTATTATGCCTGCTACAGAAGAAACAAAATGTGAGATAGGGATGCTAATTGGATGGCAGCGACTATGTAAACTTTTCTTTTATGAACATAACTATAACAAAAGTAGTGCCCCTGATACGCTATCTCTAACTTCTCGTCATCAGAAAAGTTCAAACCCAAAAAATGAAACCCGAATACACGATC